TTTTAATATTATTAAATTAATTTTAATTAATTTTTTTCAATAAAAATAGGTATCAACTACAATTTGAATATTTTTACTTTGTTATTAATCATTTTTTAACTCTAATTGTTTGTTCTACTACCATTCTATAAGATTCAAAAAAATTTGGTAACATGTTACTTAATAAATCATTTATCATAAACATTTGATTTATTATAATAATTATTTATTATAGAATACAATATAACAAATATTTCGAGTTAAACAATTTTAAGAAATAAAGTATATTTACTTATTTTTGATCAACAAAATAAATTCAAGAGTAATTTAATGTAATATTTACAGTAAAAATATTAAACATGAAACTAAAATCATAAAAAAATTTAATTCAAGTTATACAAATCAAGCGCATAAAAAAAATTATATGTTTTATAATGAAATGTATTTAAATTTACTTTTCAGTAAAATATGCTGCGGCAAAAGGTATTTATATTTATTCGAAAATCGGTAGTATTTTTAACGTGAAAATTAGAATATTTCGAAATTTGTATGTGTCTTTTAACGGTATAATGTCAATAATTTGAAAAAATCAAAATTCAAAGCAGTATTTAATCAAAAAATAGTGAAAGTTGTTTGAACTAATATTTATCAATAATAGTAATCAGCTGATTATGGATACTTCAAGAATTTTTTGTTAGTGTAAAGTTTGTTGTCGTTGGATAAGTATTTAGTGTTCATGTTGAAAAAGCGGCCGAAAAACGCAGTTATCGTATCGTATCTATCGTCAATATAATTATGTTGAATCTCCATGTTTAAATCGAATAGTTTGCCAAATTGTATTAACTAGAAAATTAATTGATCGACATTAACTACAATTGTGATTTCCTTATAGAAATTTGATTGATTTACCTCGTTTCGACCTATAGTTTTAGGTATGTGGAGTGCTACGTTGGGAGCAATACTTCTTAACAGGTCGAAGAGTTTTTTACCGCCTCCTTCGTAGTTGCTACACATATGTTTTTCGAGACTGTAAACTTCGTGTTTCTTATACGAAGGGCCGCCCATGGGGGAGACGTCACTATGACCCGTGGCTTATATTTTTTTAAGGTTTCTGCAATTTCGAAGAAATCTCCCAGTATAAATGTAATTTTCTCCCTGACTCCATAAATCTCAGCATTTCTTTTCGCGAATTCCAATTTATTAGCATCGTTATCCACAGCGATTACTTGTTTGTATCTTTTGGCCAATTGGATGATGTTACCACCAGCACCACAAAACGGATCCATAGCGACGTATAGGCCAGGACATCTCAACGCTATGTGTGTACTTAAGATTTCAGGACAAACTGAATAAAATGATTCTAAAAAAAAAACGTTATATAATGTAGTAAAAAACTTAAGTTTGTTGAAATAATAANTTATATAATGTAGTAAAAAACTTAAGTTTGTTGAAATAATAATTTTATTACCATTGTCCATCATGATTCCTTCGTCGAATTTAGAAAACAATAAGTACCTCTTATCCCATAAATGTTTTTTAATATCATTAGGCCGAGTTCTAGTTGCGGATTTTTTGTTGTTATTATTTTCACGACGTAAATTTCCATTCACTTTAGTTTTTTCCAGGCCTTCTGTAGTAAAAAGTTCAATTTTTTTACTTAGCAACGCACTGTTAGTGTAAGATGTTATAATTTTTTCGGTTAATTTTTTAGACTGTATTCTATTACATTTGAGTGAATTTTCTATTAAGATGCGGTTTTCTTGATTTGTTGTA